TGGAGATATTTTGTGGTTTCAATGATGTGTTTTTGGACGTTTGAATCTGGGGCGCCGTCAGCCTCCATTAGGTGGAGTTGTGTTGCTACCTCCTCTCCCCTTGGATCTCTGCAAGTGATGTGAGGACTCTAAAACTTCACCTGAGCCTCCCTCGGCATATGGGTGAGTAGATAATGGCTGAATTTTCATTTTTGGGTGCACTATCCCTTTAAGGCGGTAAAAGTCTGAGTAGATAGGGTGGGAGGGTGGATGGGTCCAACAACCATTAACTTTTACCCAGGAGGCCGGTGTTCACTTCCTGTAAGATCTAAAGCCAAACCCTGTTCTTGTTTCCTGAACTCAACCACATATGTTTGACGTTGAAGGAAAAAAGCATCAACTTGTCTTGGTTCTGTCTTGAGGCAGCAGTTACATGTTACGTTATGTGTTCTGTATTTTACAGCACGAATATTTAAATTAAAATATTGTGGGAAAAAAGAGAGACTGAACGGAGCTGATTTTGTTTTCTTTTTATATCAACAGGAAATCTGCAAAAAGCTGCACCAGGCCCTCGACAAGATCGATGAGGACAGATACGACTCTGAGGCCAAAGTGGCAAAGACAGATAAAGAGGTAGAGACAGTCACATTAATGTCAAACGTATTTGATTTGATGTTAAAGAGTAACTAAACTTTTCATTTAAAACTCTGAACCCTATTTTTATCATAATTTTATTCTGGTTATGTAATTAGAGCAGGGGTGTCAAACATAAAACACGGCCCACGCACCAGATCCAGCCCATCACAGGGTCCAGTCTCGCTCATTTAATGACTTTGCTAAGTGTAAAAATCACAGGGAAGTCATTGTCTCAGATTTTTCAATTAAACTTACTGCTGTTCCTATTTTACAAATGAGCCAGTCCCTGTTTCTGCACAGAGGTAAATGTGAAGCTCACAGCACCTTCCAGTGCTTCAGAAAGATTATACTCAGCACCAGACCAATCCATTTTATTTATATAGCACTTTTCTAAAACACAAAGTTACCAAAGTGCTGCACAAAACTACACATAAGCATATACAGAAATATACAGAAATCCACATAAGAATATACAGGTCACAGATGCAGAAGAGATACAGACAGTAGAGCAAGCTCAAGAGATAAAAGACACAGAGACAGGTTGGTCTACTCGTCAACCAGAATCAAAAGCCAAGGAAAACGAGTGGGTCTTGAGGCGGGACTTCAAAGATTCTGCCTGGGGGCAGCTCCCGAGAAGGCGCGGTCACCTCTCGTTTTCAAACGGCTTTTTGGGACCACAAGCCGCAGCTGATCGGTCGACCTCAGTGACCCTGACGGGGTGTACACTTTTAGGAAGTCGACGATGTATTGGGGAGCTTACCCATTCAGCGCTTTAAAAACAAACAATAACATCTTAAAATCAATTCTCAACTTGATCAGAAGCCAATGGAGCGAGGCCAGGATGGGTGTAATGTGCTCACGCCTGCAGGTACCTGTTAGGAGGCGTGCTGCTGCGTTTTGAACAAGCTGCAAACGTGCTAGGGAGGCCTGGTTTAGCCCCACATACAGTGCGTTGCAGTGATCCAAACGGCTAGAAACAAAAGCATGGATAACCTGCTCAAGGTCATTAAAGAAAGCACAGGTTTGATTTTTGATACAAGCCTCAAATTATAACAACTGGACTTCACCACAGCATTTATCTGCTTATCATGTTTAATAGCACTGTCTATTCTGACGCCAAGCTTAGAGACCACAGGTTTAACAGGAAACCCAAGTCATTGGAAGAAACTAGGCTAACACCACTTGATTCAAAGACAACAACTTCTGTTTTACTTTCATTTATATTAAGGAAGTTTAGCGCCATGCGTGCCTTTATGTCCTCGAGACACTCAAACAGGGGCGTCAGGGAGCAGCTGTTGAGCCTTTTGACGAGCACCACTGTCAAACTCATTACTGCGAATAATACAACAACATGCAAAGACAACTAAGAGCAGAGCAGATCAATGAGTTGCGGAGTTGAGGGAACATAAGTCTTGTTTTAGTTTTAGATGAGAGATCAACACTGTAGCTGTGAAAAAGTGCATGTATGTCAAAAGTACTTAGTTACACTCCAGCACTGTGTGTGACTGTATCTGCAGCTGTTTGAGCTTCACGTCTGTGTGTCTTTAGATCGAGGATCTGAAGATGAAGGTGGTGGAGCTGGCCGGAGTGAAGAAACCCGCCCTGAAGAAAGTGCGTATGTCGGCCGACACCATGCTGCAGGCTCTGCTGGGAGGAAAACACAAGGTGACCATGGACCTGAGGGCCAACCTGAAGCAGGTCAAGAAGGAGGTCAAAGAGGAGGTGAGACTCAGATACATCACTGACTTCATATGCACTCCACGTTGGGTTGGTGTTACGTGACCTGCATCACTGTGTCGAATGTGTCTGTCCTTCAGGCTGGCGAGGGCGTCGGCGACTGGCGTAAGAACGTTGAGGACAAAGCCGACAGGAAGAAGATGTTCGAGACTTCCTAAAGACTTTCACTTCTTGTGGGCTTCTACAACTCTTTGTTACATCTCTGAAAAAACTCGTGCCATTAAATTATTTTTTGGAATAAGGCATTGATGTCACGCTGCAGTTTTTTCCAGACATTGTTCAGAAGTTTGGATTTGCGCCGTTTACATTTCATTAACTTTACTAAAGGAGGTTCTGTTTAAAACCCACTTTATATTCTCTAACAACGACTCAGCCAGATAGAAGTTGAGGTTAATCTGGACTTTCACACTGAAAGTCTTACAGAGGAGAAGACTAATTCCACATCAGGCGAGCTTGTTCTCAGTGACAAAAAATCACTTTAACTTTAATTTAAACTGATAAATATTTTATGTGGCACAGCAGCAAATTGAAAAAAAGTGTTGTGTTCGCAATGAACCACCAGATGTCAGCAGAGTGCCTTCCTCCCTCTGTGCTCTCTTCTTACTTCCTGCACATCATCTCTTCTTCTTCAGTCATGAGAAATGGCTTCTTGCCAAAAATTTCCATCAGAATCAAACTTCTACTTCTCCGTCACAAACGAAGCTGCAGCAGCATGAAGCTCTACAGATGGTGAGTAACTTCCTCTTTTTACTTTACTTTGAATTTAATCTGTGCATGTTATTTGGTTTTGTTCAACTCTTCATGAAACCATCTGCATCTTACAGAACAGGAGCACACATTCATCCACTGAGTAAAATTATTAAACTTTACATTTTTATGACTGTACATATCCATCAAAGGGAAGTATTCTAAATATTCTTCTTATTTTTTTAACACAATTCTCCAAATGTCAGGGCAATAAATTTGGTTTCTTTGAAAACTGTTTTGGGAACTTTATTTGAATTTAAAATAAAAAGGTTTGTTGGACTTTTTACACGTGGAGAATTCAGACTTTAAGAGGTTCAATTCACAAATACTGAAACTTTTTCTGCTTTAAAATTTAAGCAAACAGGAAGTTCTTACTGAAAACAATATTTAAAATCAAGTTTCATCCAGAATTGTTAAAACTAACCAGAACATTTCTCTGATTTTTTCGACATTTTCACTTTATCATGGTAGTTTAGGTTTAGTTGAGCACATTTCTGTCAGTGATGATTCAGTCCATAAAAAATCATTATCGTTCATTCAGCTTCTATAATAATAAATGATGACGTTAACACCGTATTAAAAACTGATTTATGACGGTTAAATGTTCATCTATTCCCATGTGGTGGTGTTTTTTACAGTTACTGATTAATTTATCTGTGATAGAATTTGTCTAAAAAACAGTTCAACTCTGACAGTTTAATAAAGTTAAGATGACTAATTAATTCAGATTTTGAATTTTTTTCGATTTTATTTTTTGGTCACTGGTTAACGTTTAATTATTATTTTTTTTGCTGTGTTCATTTTTATTTTCTTATTCTTACATACTTATACTTGTGCATCAGTTAACTCATCTCTTGTTACCTTCAGTTTGTAAAGAAAACATTGTGAACCAAGAATCCAAGAACAGTGAAAATTCTTCGTGAGCTGATGTCATTGGTTTCCACGTCTAACAACAGCAAAACTTCAGTTTGCAAACTCAAGTCTCATTTATCCAGTCGTTGCTCTGGACTTCACTGACACATGCATTTTCATTTAAACCGTAAAACTGAAAACATTTTCACATAAACAGTCCAACACATGGACGAGTAGTGCGTCTCAACAGCTCAACTGACTCCAAGAGCGCAGTTTAAATTCATGCAGTTGCTCGTGTTTGCCACTCGTGTGTAGAAGTGTTTTTTGTCAAGATGCATGTTTTCAGGAAGTACTGAGTGTACGACTGCACAGATGAGATTTTGATTATTCTGCACGAGTTGTGTGATTAGTCCGTAAACTGATGTATTGATATTGATGTTGTTAAATGCAGCCCTGCATGACTTCAGTTCATCAGGAATATTCTCAGTGTTTGGATTGTTCGTGTAGCGTGAAGGCATGTGAGATAAACCAGTTGGGTCTCACTCCGAAAAATCCGGCACTTGGTCAGTGACTTGCAATGTCAGAAACCAACGAAAGAAAGCTGCCATATAACGTTGGCGTGATACATGGCGGGTTGCTCTTATAGTTTAATGAGGCCCGGAGGCGTCGGGGGAAACGTGGTGGAACTAGGACGAAAGTTAAGGCGGCGAAAGCCTAAGTGAGGTCGGCAGGACTGGTGGTGAACAGGTCCAACAGACACTGACTTTCACACGAGATAGCAGTGTTCATGTCCCGTAAGACTCTAGAGCCAAACCCTGTTCTTTTTCTGTAAACCTAACCACATGTTTTTGTTGTTGAAGGAAAAAAAAAAATCGTAGTGCTTTTATTTTGAAAGAGACTGTATCAAACTGTACATTTCCTGTGAAAACAGAAGTGTATTTTGAAAACAGACAATGCATGTAACAGGCTGAAGTTGACACGGCGTCCCAGAACGTCAACAACCAACACACCCAGGGTACCTTGGACGTCATATGTGGACGTGGAAAGTCCATGACCAAACGTGGACATGTGACGTGACATGTGTTTGAAAAACAGAGCTTTTCTTCACATATTTGATATTGTAACACGGGTGAGTGATAGAAAAAGTGTGATTTTGTGGGTGAACTGTTCCTTCAGTGTGAATGAGACACATCAGTGGGACTCTATCAGTGTTCAGCCTTCACAGCACCACAGAGGGATTTTGCTCTCCACCTGATTTATGTTCCCTCAGCCTGCTGAAGCCTCAGATTAACTTGAACTTTAGTTTAGCTGACTCCTGCCGGGTGCGACTATTGTCACCTCTGCCTGCTAAGCTGCTGGTATAAAGCAAAGTGAATCTCTGAGCTCTAATCATGTCGCCCCGACTGTTGTGTAACAATTGCTTCACCCGAGCTCCGCTCTCCGTGGGAGGGGAACCTGATAGCGTCTGTTCAGTCCAGGGAGGCGACTTCCTGCAGCAGAAATTTATGAGGTTCCTCAGAGAGTTGGGGTGGTATTTCTGGAGCCTGCCGGCCCATTGGTCTGAAGTGACTCTGCTACCATAAAGAGGGCTGACTTTACTGCTGAGCGAGCACTTCACACCCTATATACTCTGTTTATTCTTTACTGTTTAGGACTTGGCAGCGTCTCCCCCTCTTCTTCTTCCTCCTCCTCCTCGTCACGTTCAGTAGGTGAGAGTCTCTGCAGCTCGGCTTCGTTTTCACTCCGGTAGGAGACAATACAGAGAGCCGCGCTGAGGTCTGGTCGACAGGTGGGACTTTAAGGTGGTTTTTAAGGGGTTCTTTGAAAGGTGCTGCTGCAGGTGTGACCTCTGACCTCTGAGGCTGCGTTCAGACATTTGGAGGTAGAATCAGAGAGACGCTGAGACTTGTTGGACTTATTGGAGGACACTGTAGGACTGTGAATAACTGCGGGACGTTCAGGTTAAAGTTTGGACTGAAACTGAAGCAAATTTGTGGTTTTATTCTGCAGCGTTTGATTTGTTGTTTGTCTTGAGATGAAAATCAGCTCATGATGCAGCTTGGGTGTTTCCATGAGCTTGCATGCTGCTGGGAAAATTATTGATGTGTAATATATGAAATGATGTAAAGTTAATGTTTGTTTTGTCAACTTGGATGTTAAATCTTTAAAGCATTTTATTTTGCGTGCAGTGTAAAACTGATTTGCACATTACAGATACAAATAATTTGATAATTTCCTTCCAAAAAGAAGTGTTTTTTTGGCACCAGTTGCAGGAAAACTTTAATTTCCTTGAAGGAAAAGCATTTAATCTGAGTGAATATCCATTTATTCATTTTTGGCAACTTAGTTCTTCATATATTTTAAATTCTTTGCTTGCCTGTGTACAAGTTTAATGCATTTGCATGTAGCACTTATTAAAAGATTCTCTTTTCAGGGAAATTTTCTAATTAGTCGGATCATTACATCTGCATTATAAAGGAAATGCAGATGACGTCATTAGATTTAAGGATTTGTGAATTTAATGAATTTTGATCTTCACTTTTCGGCTTTAGTTGGATGTTTTGTTGCAGCTCAGCGTTTGATGCTGGTATGAAAATAAGATTTGAAAAAGCATTGTAGTGTGAGGGAATCTAGATCTCACATTTATGCTCCCACTGCTGGTTTAAACTGTAAAGTTTGTACTTGTTGTTTTAAATTCGTTGAGCCTTTTTTATGCCTTAAAGCTTCGTGTACGTTCCTACAAAGTTTTATTGTTTCTGATTTAACTTGTCTCTGGACACACCTCGGTGTCAGCCGGCAGCTCGGATGCCTGCAGGATGTCGGTATTAACGGCGCTGGTGTTAACGGCTCTCACCACGTGCTTGGCGCCACATTTGGTTCCTGTGCTGGTGGCATTTCGTGCTCAGTTCAGAAGTTAAATTCCAGGCAGAAATGTCTTCAGAGGGGGCAACCGAAGAGCACCAGGGCCCCGGCATCTGACCCCGCCCGTCCAAAATTAGCCGGTTTGTGATCACTGGCCTGGCAGCCGGGGTTTCCATGATATCGTGTTTCCTGCTGGAGGTCAAGGGTCGCTGATTGATAACGGGGAGGCAACAAGTTCACTTCAGCTTTATGTCACCTGTCTGCTCATGATTAACTGATTTCTGTCTCTGAACAGGTTGTGAAGATCACAAACCGCCAACATGTCTGAGTGAGTACACGTATTCTTCCTCTTCTTCTTTAAGTTGTTCTTCTTCTGTGGTTTGGTTTTGTTAACTTTTCAAACGAGAGCTAAACTCACCAAAAACTCAGAAATGTTTAATTTAATTTAATTTAAAAATCTCACCGACATCACATCATTTTCCTCTCACTGATTTTTAAACTGTAACAGCTCTCTGTTTTTATTTTCATTCATTTATTTAATTATTTTTTGCCGTTTTGGGGCTTGAAGATGTTTCAGACTCAGCTTGTCAGGCTAAGCCTTTGTTAAGAGGTTCTCTGAGTAAAAACACCGGTGTAAATCCCAGATAGTGTGTCACAACATGTTGCTGGACTTACACAGGGATTAATACACATGTTCTTTAGAGTTCATGACCTTTCAAACATCCAGCAGATCCAAATTCAAACTTAGCTCTGTTAATTGCTCAGATGATCTGTTGCTTAGTCCAAAAATAAATGTGGCTCGGTGGTAAATGTTGAGAAAATAGAGACAAACTTCTCAAATACAGGCAGTTGATGGTTTCTTGAGAAGTTTTAACGAAAGAAAATCTTAATTTAAACCCAAATTCATATTGATTAATTAGTTATTAATGAATTTATTTACATTATTTTGCATTTATACTGGACTGTAGACTGCCTTTTGATGCATGTGTATGTGTACAATTGAACAGTCTCCATTCACTCTAAAAGTAGAACTCAAATTATTAACATAAGTAAATTAGTAAATAGTTATTTTCATGAATCTGAGCTCACAGTTACATCTCACTTGTGTCTCGTAAGATAAACCAGAATATGCTGCTCTTTTAGCTTGACTTTGTTTTATTGACAAAGTGGGGGATGACGGCAGCATAAGCGCTCATCTTCTCCAAAACACAGATCTTAAAATGTTAAAATAACTACTTGAACCTAAACATGATGAAAGACACTTGAGCTTAACTTAAAGAGGGATGAATCCACAATTTGGGACAGTAAAGGAGACGAAGATTGAAGCATCTGATACTATTGAGGAGCTCAGAGGATTTCAAGGTGAATTAAAAGACTTCAGTAAACTAGAAGAAGAAGAACTAAAGAAAGAAATCGGGCAACAGTTATTTGTTTTATTGACAATATTGTCAGGTGTTATTATCAACAGGACACATTAGATCAAATCCTGGACGTTCCGTCTTTGTCCCTGAATGTTTTCATAGTTTCACACAGACGGACGGAGACGTTCAGTGTCTCACATTAAAGAAATAGGAGCTAAAAAACTAAAACAGAGTCATACGAAAATATGATCAAAAATATTTTGGTATAAAGGAAATCACATCAAGAAGTGTAGAAATATTTTGTTAAACGTCCTGCTTATAAAATTTCATTTAAGTAAAATATTAGAATTAAAATATACTCAGAATAACCCAAATCAAAGTGCTCACTGTGCAGAACGGCCCATTTCATAATGATATATATTATATTATTCTGTTCTAACTCATGATGTTTGATTTAATGTTGCAGCTGGTAAAGGTGAAGCTCATTTTCATCACTTCATAAATTACTGAGAATCTATAATAGTGTATTTAATTAGCTGATTATAATTTGTGTTAGTCGTGTGAATATGCACAGTACATCATGTCCCTCAAGATATACTCAAGTAAAGTACAAGCAGCTCAGAAGAGTATCTAAAAAAACGTAATCACTTTCCAGCACTGTGTGTTGGCACTAATCCCAGAGTACGGCTCAGTGACATTCAGTCGTGTAAATGTTGACCTGCTTCATCAGGAGTCATCTTCTGGTGAACTTTAATCTCTGCAGAGAATTATCACGACAGTCGGTCTGACGGTCGCTGAGACGTTTCACTGTTGGACCGACGGAGAGTCTGAGATGTGTCTAAACTGATCTGAACACATGTGAAGGCAACAGTTCAGTCTGAAGGTCAAACCTGCAGCTTCAGATGACAGCAGCTGTACGTGCTGCTGGCATGTGCGAGGAATAAATAACAGGTTAAAGGAACAGTGTGGAGGATTTAGTGGCGTCTAGTGGTGACGGTTACAGACTGCAACCAGCCGAAACGTCAGTTTTCCGTCAGTCTTCTCTGTTCAGGAGGCGTTTAGTGGGAGCTGAGTTATCCACAGAGGTCTGTCCTCTCCAAAACAGACACATCAGCTGATTTAAACCAGTGAAAACACTTAATTAAACAGTTTCATGTCAAAAATCAGTGTTTTCTGATGCTTTTTGGTTCATCACAGAGCGGCTGCTAACTACAGTGGCTGACATGAAAGCACCAATGGCCATGTTTGGTTTGTCCATTCAGGGCTACTGTAGAAACATGACGATCTCTGTAGACGGAGACCCACTCCCTACATAGATATAAATGGCTCAGGTTATTATACACTAAAGAAAACACATTTATTATAGTAAATTTCTGCCAGTATGAACCCCTAAATCCTTCACACTGGAGCTTTAAAGCAGGCGGAGATATTTATTTATATTTCAGGATATTTAAAGAAGCCATTTTTAAATTTATTTCAACCTCTTAAATGGCTGCAGTTTGCCTTCTCTCCTCAGATCAATACATTTGAAAGCATCTCTGTGTTTATCCTCCCACAGTTTATCACTTTAAATGTTGTAGTGTGAGACAAAAACAGGAACAGCTGAGCTGAGTAATGAATTCTCCAGTTTAGCATCTTTTAAAAATGTTTCTGTGCTGAAAGAAGTGAAAAAACATTGATTCATTTTATAGATTGGAAGCAGTGAAATAATCTCAACCCACGTGCAGATTTTTATTGTATTCTATTCATGCATTCTGTCTTTTTTCTATATATCAACAGTGTATACTATTCTTGCAGAGAGTTAGATGAGAAGGTTGACTCCACTCTCGTATGTAGCTGCTGCCAGTTAGCTTAGCTTCGTATGAAGACTGGAAACCAGGAGAAACAGCTGGCCTGCCTCCTCCTGGTTTAAATCTTCCACTTCCTCTAAAACTCACTAATTAACACATTATTTATGATCATTCATTCATTCATCTTCTAACCGCTTCATCCTCTTGAGGGTCTTGGGTGTGCTGGAGCCTATCCCAGCTGACACTGGGTGAGAGGCAGGGTTCACCCTGGACAGGTCTCCAGACTATCACAGGGCTGACACATAGAGACAGACAACCATTCACACTCACATTCACACCTACTGACAATTTAGAGTCACCAGTTAACCTGCATGTCTTTGGACTGTGGGAGGAAGCTGGAGCACCTGGAGGAAACCCACGCTGACACAGGGAGAACATGTCAGAGCACCTGGAGGAAACCCACGCTGACACGGGGAGAACATGCAAACTCCACACAGAAGGGCTCCCACACCCGGGATCGAACCGGCAACCCTTTTGCTGTGAGGCGAGAGTGCTAACCACCACACCACCGTGCCGCCCTATCTATGATCATGTCTTTTACCAAAAAGTAAAACAAGGGGTTGTGTGCTGGGTTGTTTCCTGGCTCTGCACAGTTGCTAGGCAACCAGCAGAGACTCCAGGAAGTTACTGGTCCCAGCTAAGAAATAGTCAAACACATAAAACCTGTAACTAGTTAACTCATCATCATCATCATGGTTTTAAATGAGATTTAACGTGTTAATAATGAGCTGCAGAGGTGCGTGATGGTGGACAGAATCAGGCTAACTGTTTCCAAGATGATATACTTTATTAACCCCTGAGGGGAAACTCAGTTTTTTCACTCAGTTGTCACACACATACACGCGGGCCTGAAATACACACACACACACACACACACACACACACACACACACACACACACACACACACACACACAGGATCTATACATGTGTTAATGGGGAGATGTCAGAGTGAGGTGGCTGCTCACTCTGAGCAGTCATGGGTTCAGTGCCTTGCTCAAGGGCACCTCGGCAGTGCCCTGGAGGCAAACTGGCACCTCTCCAGCTACCAGTCCACGCTCCATACTTGGTCTGTATGGACACTTGTACTGGTGACCGTCTGGTTCCCAACCCATCCCTATGGACTGAGCTGCTGCCGCCCCCTTAGTCTAGCTAAGCTAAGCTAAGCTAAGCTAAGCTAAGCTAAGCAGCTGTTGGCTGTAGCTTCATGTTTACTGCACAGACATGAGAGTGGCATCAATCTCCTCACATACTCTCATCCTAAAAGTTGAATCATACTTGAAGAATAGATGATAACGACCGTTAAAGACTGATCTCTGTCTCACAGGGGAAAGAAAATGACGTCCAGCCGCAGGCATCATCTGAAGGTGAGGATAAAACCTTTTCCTTTTCACTGACGTCTTGTTTAAGCATCATTGTTTTTAATTTAACTGTGACATGTTGATGTTTTCACCTCCCTGCAGAGTCTGATGCTGCAGATTGCCGCCAACTGGATCGAGCAGGAGAAGAAGGACATCGCGGCGGCTAAGGAGGCCTACATGGCCGAGAACTGTCCCGCCCCCGACGCCAGCGGAGACCAGGCCGCCCTCATGGTGAGACCGTGACGATGTCAGCCAGTGGCAACTGTAAAATACTCTACTACAAGTATCAGGAACAAAATATAGAACATGTGGTGGTATGTTGGTACATTCAGAAAAATGTACCTAAAATATGAAAAGTAAAATGGCAGCAGTGGGCCGTAACTTAGTACATTATATATCTCTACTCCAACAATGTGGAGGCAAATGCTGAACTTTATATTGCACTTTTCTTATTTGTCATTTATTGGTACTTTAAAAGACTTAAAGAAATCCATATTAGTGTGGATGTGACCTCAGTTGGTTGCAATCTGCAACCTCACCACCAGATGCCACTAAATCCTAAATATTAGATGTCCGCCCACTGGTAGGAGGCCCCGGGGCAGACCCAGAACACACTGGAGGGATTATATATCTCATCTGGTCTGGGAACACCTCGGGGTCCTCCAGGAGGAGCTGGAGAGTGTCACTGTAGAGAGGGACGTCTGGGGTGCTTTGCTCAGTCTGCTGCCCCCACGAGCTGATGAATGAAAATGAATGGATGAATCTTTAAATGACATTCAGATGTGTTTTATATAGTGTTAATTGAAGAGAGTGTTGTTTTATAAGACGATCATGTGTTGTGTGTGTAAAATGTGTGTATAACAGAGTGTTACAGTATCTCTGAACATACGTACAGCTCTTCAGTGAGAGTGTTTGTTTGTTTTGTGTGTATCAACAGGAACTCTGTAAGAAGATCCACCAGGCCATCGACAAGGTGGATGAGGCGAGGTACGACGCCGAGGCCAAAGTGCAGAAGGCCGACAAAGAGGTAAACGCCTTCTGACATGATTAAGAACAGTTGATGGTAAACAACATTTATCGCTGCTCCTTCATTGGTGCATTTTGGATCAGGTGTATCCTTTTTTTCTGTCTTTGGATCACTTCATTTAATTAGTATTTATGTGCATGTCGGGTTCTGGTAAGTTGTAGTTGAAGCACTTTGTATTTGTCCTAGTGGAGTCTCATAACACTGTGATCAATGAGAACCAGCACAGCTCAGTCGCCAGTACAGTATGTTGGCATTGTATGTTTCTGCAAACCACAAATATGTCTCATTTGTACGTTTCATATGAAGCATATTCTTAAGTAACTGACTTTGTCATCGGGAGGTGGAGGGCTGGTTGATGGCAACAAACAACAAAACTAGTTGTGATTCAGGAAGTCATTGCTGAGTTTCCAGCAGCCGTTAAGACACCCAACGTGGGTGTTTGTTAGCAACCTGTCCCAGTTTTTATACTTTAACCCAAAACATGATGTTTTCCCAACAGTAATCGAGTGGTTTTGGTGCCTAAACCTGACCTCACATTAACCACAGCGATGTTGAAATTTAAATCTTTAGTGCCATATCGTAGGCAACTGGACTTGTTTGAGTTCCTTGACGATGTTTCACCTCTCATCCAAGAGTCGTCTTCAGGTCTGAAGTTCTCAGAAACTTCCAAACGAACCTGTCTCACGACGTCTGATCCCAGCTCCCTGTTAACGCGTGAACAATCTAACGCTTGGTGAATTCTGCTTCACAATGATTGGAAGAGCCGACATCAAAGGATCAAAAAGCGACGTCTCTATGAACGCTTGGCCGCCACAAGCCAGTAATCCCTGTGCTTACTTTTCTGACACCTCCTGAAAGAAACTCAAGCGAGTCCAGTTGCCTGTGATAAAGGGCTTTGGATCACCGTGACCTGGATGCCTGAGAGTCTTCACCAACATGTTGAAATATAAAGTTTTAATAAATCCGCTACATAACAATGTGCAAATGTGACGTATCCGTGGTTCACAGAAACATTTTTTCTGGTGACTGAGTTTAGCAGCGACACAATTAGCTGCTTCAAAATTTATGGACATAAAGTACTACTGGGGAGTTTTTCCTGATCAGCTGTGAGGGTCATAAGGACAGAGGGATGTCGTATGCTGTAAAGCCCTGTGAGGCAAATTGTGATTTGTGATATTGGGCTTTATAAATAAAATTGATTGATTGATTGATTGATTGATTGATTGATACTGCCCCTTTGAGTACATGTAATTTTAGCTTCAGTGTCAAAGAGAGTAATTGTCTCTCATCTATCTGTAGACTTTTCTTTAGACAGACATGTGTTGGTGTTTTTCTGCCTCCAGATCGAGGATCTGAAGATGAAGGTGGTGGAGCTGGCCGGAGTGAAGAAACCCGCCCTGAAGAAAGTGCGTATGTCCGCTGACGCCATGCTGCAGGCTCTGCTGGGAGGAAAACACAAGGTGACCATGGACCTGAGGGCCAACCTGAAACAGGTCAAGAAGGAGGTCAAAGAGGAGGTGAGGAAGGAGTCCGCACTGATCACAGGAGCTTGAAATGAGCTGTTGCTGTCACATGATTCCCTCCACCATGAAATCATGTATCAGATAATAATGACGTTTAGGTGTTAAAGTCAGAACCATGCAGCTTTAGTGGAGACTGAGATCTTTATTCTGAAGAGAGTTTTCTGCCGATCAAGTTTATTCCAGATCAGTGGTCGACAAAGATCCATTACAAACACCAACGTGTAGAAATACTCCATTACATATAAAAGTTCTGCATCTGAAATTAACTTTTTGCCAACACTGTAGTTAGGAGTGAACTGTCAGGAGGATCTTGTTGTGTTATTGGGAGCCAGAATAGAAGGAGTCATGGCTCAAAACCAGCCGCCACTGCCCGTCAACAAAAACAAAGACAACTATGGTTAAATGTGATAAGACCAAAGGACTGGACGGAGGCCATCATCAAAAATGCTCACATGTGCAGCGCACACTTCATATCAGGTTAGGGAAAAAGTATTTCCTGTTGTAGGGATGAATAAGGTTATGTGTATTAAGGGTTATCATGTCCACCTCATCAGAAACTGGGGAGGGATTAAGAGGAAGATTGGATTTCTCTGCAACGCTAACTTTTTAGCACATTAGCTAACGTTAGCTTCCATAGCAAAACAAACAAGTGTGGTCCTCCTTTGTAAGATTGGCTTCCTGTGACATCATCCATCCACTGAGTGAGAGCATACGGGTCGGCCAGTCTGGTCCCGTTGGTCAGTGTTTACTTATTCAAGTAACACTGGCGGTCCCGGAGAGTGAGTGACCTGACATGGTGCGTTGGTAAATTCAGTCTGACGCTCTACACTAAAATGAGAGCCCTGTTGGTGGAAGAAACGCAGCGTTATATTTCTACATGAATGAACCAACGGTTAAGTTAATCACACATTCACTCCGCTCGGCGCTCTGCTGCTCCGTCTCCACAGACACAGTGTCCAGAGTGCGCTCTGGGTATTTCTGAATGCGTCATTCGTATCATCTTCCTTAATTGTCTGAAACAAGTCAACAGAACTTGCTAGCTTTTAAAACATGCCTTCAGGAGAATAAGATCTTATGGACTGAGTTACAGGACAAAAATAATTCTATATTTAGTCTCACAGTTATTTAATAGAAATAGCTTGTGTAGTTTGAAGTGACACTGATAATGTCTTTGTGTTAATGAGTCTGTGTTGCTGTTCTCTGCAGTCGACAGAGGCGGTCGGCGACTGGCGTAAGAACATTGAAGATAAGGCTGACAGGAAGAAGATGTTCGAGACCTCCTAAAAACCTGCCTGAAGTGGCGAGGAGCGACAGCAGGGGAGACGTCTCCGTCTGAGGTCTGAGTGACTGAAAGTGTCTGTGTTCCAGCAGGACTCACAAGGACAACACTTGAAACACTTTTTTGTTATTGTAGGTTATGTTTGTGATACTGTCGTCCTCCCGAGACAGAGACTGAACTGAGACAAAGTAACGCCAACATGTTCGCAGTTAAAACTTCTGACAGAAAATCATCATTTCAAAATGTACAGGTTTTCATGGAGTCATTAGAAATAAACGTTTTGAAGTAAGGATTAATTTGTTTGGTACATTTATCCTCACATTATTCACTCTTCATTTAGTTTCTCCCAAAACAGCAAACTGACACTCAAACAGTTTGGATACAAACACGTGAACTGAACTTTATATTTAAAATATGATGCAGAAAAGTTGAAGTGAGAACTTGGGTCATTAGATTTGGTTGAAAGCTTCAGAAAAAAAACTAAGTGGACCTTGAGTTAAGATCTTTTTTTAATTTACAGTAATGGACAGAAATCATCCTCCTGCAGGACTTTTTTAAACCTATAAAGAAAATATTTCAAGTAGTTATCAGTAAAAATCTACGGAAGCCAAGGACGGCCGTGCTTGCAATTATTTATTTCAAGCCTTTATGTGGAATAAAACAAGCTTAGCTATTATATATATATATATTTCTATAGCTAAGAGATGATTAAAACTCCATAGAATAAAAAGCAAGTAAATAAATAAATGAAATAGAATAAGAATGAACAGGAGAAATAACAAGTTTTTGGGTTCTGTCATCCTGTGACTGGAGAAAGCATAAGTCTTTTTCTTGTGATAAATTATCTCGTTCTCAAAGAACCTGGCCTTTCTTTGAGAGAATCAACATAAATTAATCATTAAAAAATGAGCCAAATAATTAATTTGTGATTTGTGATTCATTAAAAAAATAAGTGTAAGCATGTCTGCTTTCAGCTTCTGTATCAGCTCATTGTGAAATGTTTTCTCCAGCAGTGTGAGCATTGTACGTCTATTTGCTCTCTCTCTGAGAGTGAGATTAGAAGATGGACAATAATAATTTCATGTGTGCTTAGCTTAGCTTAGCATAAAGACTGGAGACAGCTAGCCTGGCTCTGCTAACACTTTTAAGCTCACTGATTATCATATTGTGTTTTTCTGGTTTAAAAAGTTCACAAAACTTCAAATCTCAAAGGGCAAAAGAAAAGTTCTAGCACAGTAATCAGGATGTGTATCTTGGACAGAGCCATGCTAACTGTTTCCCCCTGTGTAGTCTTTATGCTAAGCTAAGCTAAGCTAAGCTAAGCTAAGCTAACCACATCCTGCCTCCAACTTTGATTGAAATCTGTCCTCTCATCTTAGTCTCTATGGTAACCTGAATAATCAAACAGCATGCAGGTCAAACTCTCATTCAGAAACACACAATTTTATAACGTGAAATGTTTAAAATCAAGAGCAAAACAATCAAATGTTTCCACCGACAGATAATGAGACAGTGAGCCCGAGGCACAGCTATGCAGATATGTTGTTTTGTGTCTTTTTGTAGTTTCTTTGCATCTCTTTGTCGCTGTTCTGTGTCTCTTTGTGGTTTCTTTGCATCTTTTTGTCACTGTTTTGTGTCTCTTTGTGGTTTCTTCACATTTCTTTGTCGCTGTTCTGTGTCTCTTTGTAGTTTCTTTGCATCTTTTTGTCATTGTTCTGTGTCTCTTTGTAGTTTCTTTGCATCTTTTTGTCATTGTTCTGTGTCTCTTTGTAGTTTCTTTGCATCTCTTTGTTGTTGTTTTGTATCTCTTGTGGTTTCTTTGCATCTCTTTGTTGTTGTTTTGTGTCTCTTTGTGGTTTCTTTGCATCTTTTTGTCGTTTTGTGTCTCTTTGTGGTTTCTTCGCATTTCGTTGATGCTGTTCTGTGTCTCTTTGTAGTTTCTTTGCATCTCTTTGTCGCTGTTCTGTGTCTCTTTGTAGTTTATTTTCATCTCTTTGTTGTTGTTCTGTGTCTCTTTGTGGTTTCTTCGCATTTCTTTGTTGCTGTTTTGTGTCTCTTTGTAGTTTCTTTGCATCTCTTTGTCACTGTTTTGTGTCTCTTTGTAGTTTCTTTGCATCTTTTTGTCGTTGTTCTGTGTCGCTTTGTGGTTTCTTTGCATCTCTTTGTCGTTGTTCTGTGTCTCTTTGTAGTTTCTTTGCATCTCTTTGTCATTGTTTTGTGTCTCTGTAGTTTCTTCGCATCTCTTTGTAGTTGCTTTGTGTCTCCTTGTAGTTTCTTGGTATGTCTCATCTCATGTCTTATATTTATATATGTCGTATATTTGTGTCTTTTAGTCATTTTGTGTCTCTTTATAGTTGTTTTGTGTCTCTTTGTAGTCAGTTTGTGTCTCTCTTTTAGTTTTTTCTGCATCTTTTTGTTGTCGTTTTGTCTCTTTGAGGTCATTTTGTGTGTCTTTACGTCTCTTTTCTGTTGTTTCGTGTGTTTATAGTTACTTTGACATATATATATAAATATTTCCTTTTGATGTTGGTTATAATTGGTGAATAATTGGGGAACAACATTAAAGCTACATGACAGATTCTATAAGGTGGAAATCAGAAACAAGAGTCCATGTTGAAGTTTTTTAAGGACTCCTGGTTCAACTTAAAGAACCCTGAAGGTTAACTAGTGTCACAACAACCTCAGTTTGTCCAGTTGATGTTCTTTTATATTATAACCCCCCTCCTGCCTGTGTGAATCCGCATCTTGAAGCTTGAAGTCGTCTCACAGGGAGGGGGCGGTTTGCAGAGCGGGGCTGGGTCGGGTGTATTTCAGGAGCTCGTCGGCCCATTGGTCTGCCTGGGAATCCATTTCCATAAAGAGGATCTGGGCATTTTGCTGAGGCATCGCAACCCACCATATATACCCTATTTCATTTTTCACTGTGTGGCTTTGGTAGTGTCTGATTTTCTTCCACCCAGTGTGTCGTGGTCTTCTTCCTCCTCTCAACAGGTGAGAAATGATCTTCTTTATATTTTGTCTCTGTCTTGTTCTGTCCAGCCTCTCTGAGAGCAGCATCTCATATTTTACCAGAGGAGTTTAGAGCAGCCAAACATCAGCCAGACTCTGCTTCTAAAAATCCTCTTTTATAAGGATCACAGCCGTTTGTTACTCCACCTTTGGCCCTGCTTGACATCCTGAAATCGCTTTCTGCATGTTTGCTGCCGACATTTGACCTTCTCCTGACAGACCTGAATTTATGGCACCTGTTCAGCTGCACTTTGTTGTGTTTAATGGTCCTGAAGCTGTTTGCAGCTCAGTTAAACGGCTAAAATAACATGTTGTCATTATGATATCTTAATTAGACGATGTTGTAAAAGGGTTTAGAGTAACACAATTATCATGACTCTGATTTGAGGAAACATCTTTTTTAAGTAAGAGCAAATTTATTTATTTGCATCACTGAAGTCCTTAAAATTTGAGCCATTTTTTTTGTTGAACAGGACGTTGAAATGTTCTTTAAAGCTTATTGGTTGTTTTTAATGACAATAACAGCTCACTTATTATTAATTAATTGGTAATTAATTTGAGTATTATTCTTAAAAATAATGATCATGGTTAACAAGAACATTTATTTATGCCTGCAGGATTGAGCAGTTTGATAAACAGTTGGTTGAATTCAGTTCTTGGCTGATATTTCTTTTATTTTTAGCATCTTGCTTCGGAGTTTGTCACAAAAACTAAAAAAACTGGAAATAATGCAGCTTTTAAAGGTGGTAAATTTGGGTCTGTCAGTTCTGAGAGCTCACTGTAAGAATTTAAAGCTAAAGTTGTGAATTAATTAATCATGAAGAGATCATTTCACCTGATTTGGAGCTGCTGCTTTAACATTCAACGTATTTCAATGTATCAGTGATGAACTTCAGTTGGTAATATTCCACTAGACAATTTATTTAAATTAACCTCTCACCCGATCTGGTCATAAACAGTTCAGACGCGACACCGGATCCCGACCGATCCAGTTTTAGTTTTAGTCGACGTCGCTGCTCTTCAGCTGTGGCCTCAGATCACGTTACTGCACAAATATTCTGTCCATCCGTCAGAGCAGCAGAACATGCTGATCTCAGAGAATCTGTGACATCCTGATCTGAGCGACTACGGTGTTCAGCAGAGGTCAAAAACACTCAGATGTTTCCCCCACTCAGTGTGTGTTCTCTTGTGTGTCCTCATGCAGGTTGTGAACTTCAAAAAACGCCAAGATGTCTGAGTAAGTCTGAACAGCATCCTCTCTGATCAGGGTTACATCATGTCTGTGCAAAAACACCCACGTTTACAAGCACATCACCATCATCACCATCATCATCATCATCATCATCATCATCTCATATTATGGAATCTATAATGGCATTTTTCTAAAACTGGTGTATTTGTTACAACTTTTGCTTGTTGTTTTTTTTTTTGCACAAAATGATCCTGAAATCTGCCTCATTTCAAAGCAATAACTTTATAATTGTACTTTGAACAAGCAAAAAATTCACTGTAACAAATGTCAAGTTATTTTCACTTGTAAAAATAAGCATGAATTTCAGAGTGAAAAGTTGTAAATATGAATGTACTTCATGATGTTTATGATGACATGTTGACCTGACTTCCTCCCCAACAGGAAAAAGATGACTTCGAGCCGCAGGCATCATCTGAAGGTAACCTGAAAAAAATCTGTCTGTACTTACAGATGCATCTCTTACTGTCCTGGATAGAAATGAGATTTTCAATGTGTTTCCTGAAAATATTAGCAATAAAAAATATTAGCGCAGTTTTTGGGGACTATTTTCAGCAGTGGATGAATCCATATTTGGTGTTCATCCTTTAGGTATGTTTAAAGTGATGGGTGTCAATAGTATAATTGTTTCATGATGCTGTTTATGAGTTGTGACTGCAGGGAACAATAAAAGCTGTTTCCCTCTTGTTCGTCCTGCAGAGTCTGATCCTGTCGATCGCTCAGAACTGGCTCACACAGGAGAGAAAGGACAATGAAGCAGCCAAGCAGGCCTACATGGCCGAGCACTGTCCTCCCCCAGATACCAGCGGAGACCAGGCCGCCCTGATGGTGAGCAGAGCACCGGCCAGAAAGACCGTCAGAATCACAGAGCCAGGGTTTCTTTATTAAACCGTAATTTGAAATAAAATCCTGCATCCAAAATTTATAATTATAGAAGTATTAGTATCAAAATATACATAAGTAGCCAAGTGAAAGTACCCACTGTGCAAAATGACCTCAGAGTGTTATATGTGTTTTTGGAATCATTATTATTGA